TTTTGATATTTGGTTAGGTATATTTATATATATAAAAATGTCTCATAATTTGTGCAAAAGGCTGTATATTTATATATATAAAAATGTCTCATAATTTGTGCAAAAGACTGTAATTTGTGCAAAAGGCTGTATATTTATATATATAAAAATGTCTCATAATTTGTGTAAAAGGCTGTATACAAAATAAAATATAAATATAAAACTAGGATTGTGAAGATTATGACATAGATTGAATTGTTTTTTTGTATTTTTTTTTTTCATTTTTTACTTTTGAATAATCGGAATATCATGTGGTAYCAGGTTCACAGTACACAGCTGTTATGTACTTTACCGAAATTGGCGTGGTAAATTTCATTTACAAGGCAACAGCGTACTTAACAGCGAGATTAAAATCTACTTGGTTACTTGGTTAATGTACTTTTGAATACATGCCCGAGATGTTGTAGGGTGATATATATTAAATCATATATGATGCATGCCACATAAGSAAACATGACATCGAGAAAGGATTTGTGGTGTATATGTGAGTATTTGTAAATATTAGGAGAATTTTCCCCAAAAATTATTTGCTTTATTTTTACAGAAGACCGTTTATTTTGTTCTATTGAAATGCTAGAAACACCAAAAACATATCAAAACTTTACTGTAATTCTTTTTCTCTCCTTTTTTATGCCTCGTGGCACACAAGGTCGCAAGACTTTGAGAAGAGCTTAGCTGGGCTGAATTCATTGCAAATTTCTTTGTTGTCTAGTCTACGCTTCTAACTGTTTTCACTCTTAGAAAGCCTGATGATTTTTGTCGGTGCAGCTTGTGCGGTCATTGCCGCAACACTAAACGTTTCTTTTGAATCAAAAACGTTGTCTTTGTTTGATTGTTTCTTCATTGTTTGAGCTTAACACACAGTACACACACAGTACAATGATATTATCTAGAGAACATTTCCATATTGGCAATTTTCTTACCACTAGAGACACATTTTAAGGATTTATTGTTAGGGATCGTGATGCCGCAAAACCGCTAAGACCTTAACCGTTATCTAAAGCTGCGTAACAAATTCGTCGATTTTTCCCATCAGTTTATTATCTACGTAACCGTAACCAGCCACAAAAATATGAGCACCGCCAATCTCTAGATAAAATCAAAATAAAGTGATGCCAACACTAGAATCTTGTCTGCGGAGATCGTCTGAGATAGAAATCTCATTGGATTCGTTGTGCGGTAGCCGCGTCTACCGCATGTTTAGCATTTCAACTGACACAAACAACAAGAAGTCATGAATGTTGAGCAAGCAGGACGTATTTTTTTTGTTTTCAATTTACATTCAAGAGCCGATAGACGAAACTCCGCTTTAGGAGAAAACGTCGTCTCAAGTGTTCGAGAACCAATTCTTACCCTTAATCTGATAAAAGTTTGACATAAGCCATGTTTATTTATTGTTGAGATTATGTTTGTGATTCAAATGTGTCGAATCATTCATTTCGACAATTTGTCCGACCTAAGCGTCTTTATGGTAATTCTACTGCGCATGCGTGACTGAAAACGTCGAAAAAGGCGCTGTTAGATTCACAACTGAACAGCCAGTTATTAAGTCAATAATTGAAATAGACGAGAGATAAGGATCAACTACATTCAAAAAGAAAGATGACATTTGAAATTGAATTTATAGTTTATGCATTTACTGCCTTGGTAAGGCAAACAATCAAGACGCCATCATGAAGTAATATCTGAAAGTAAGTCGCTATTTTATCATTTTATATCGGGTTCATTTTCGTCCATATATAACTGTATCCTACTGTCTCAGAAGTAATGCCTAGACGTCCTTTGATCATAGCGACTTTTTCAATGCTTAGAACTCAATGTTGACAATCATATCGGTTACATTGGTGTAGCGATGGGAACAAATTTAATTGGCGCTCTTGTTGACAGTAAGTTACATCCATTATGTCGGCTGTATAAATACTTAATCCAAACAATATAGGATCCGTGATGTCGGTTTTTTGTTTTTTGTTTTGAACCTTTTTCCCTGGTTCTACTAGTTATTTTCAAATGTTTAAAGATAACTTTCACTTTACTAACAAACAAGAACGGACGCTGACGATGTGGGCAGTAGGACGCTTTAGACAGCATGTCGACTCTCATTTACGCGGTACCCCATGAACATATTGCAACATCTATTCGTCTAATTACATGGGCTTCCAAAGGAAGACCATGTCTTAAATTACCGACGTTTTTCGTCTGTGGTATGCTTCAAATTATATCCGGGACCTTTTCATTTTTGACATCTATTGTCTTACTGTCATTCATGTTTCTAAGCAACGATTCAAAGGTCGCTTCATGCTTCTCCGGACCTTCGTAAAGCCGGCAAAGTCTTAAGATCGAACATGTCGAATCTATCTAGCTTCTACAAATAGGCTAGATTCTTTTACAAATCCACACACCATTCGCGGCATAGCCACACTAAATAAATTCGAGCATTTCTCAAAAGGGCATTTGGAGAGATACGGCGAATTTATCGTGAATCTACCGATCGTGAATTAAGGTTCTACTATCAACATTAGCTCATCAAAAGCTAACTTATACTAGTACAGACTCTACAATCACCAAGGACTTATCTAAGACATGTCAACAGATTTATACTGAGGAAAAACAGAGGATAGGAAGTATTTTAAGCGAAGAACATGAAAGACTATCGATCTGTGTTTAATACAGCCAAGTATGCGACTCTTAAAGTAACGTCTCGTCAAACATAAATTACTTCTTTCACAATATTTTTAAATTCTACTATTTTCAAGTACATTGCTTGTTTGATTATATTTCATTAAAGGAAAACTTTTTTGGCTGTTGTCTTTAATAGTAATATTAATTTCATTAGGGTTCAATATCATTTACTGATTGTGATATACCACAGGAAGCCCATGTAAACGATCGCTGATCGTCTAGTTTATTGTAGAAATGAGCAGTTGGCATTGTCAACATCGATTCCATTACCTAGCCGCAAAAAAGAGTCTAAAATTTTGAATACAATTTCAAGTTAAAAATCAAGGTAAAAATCGATAATGTTGATTGATCATCGTCTGAATTTGACTATTATCTTTGTATTTTTTTTTTTTTTTTTGGTGGAACAGTAACACCTGCAGTTGAGCTTGTTTTGATAAATTAATTTTTAACCGAAAAGCATTTGTTGGGAGGAAGCTAATTTCGCTTTGCCAAGTGTCATATGCTATTTTAATCCCTGAATATCGTTCAAAATATGCATTTTCTGAACTTGGTTTGTTTGGCCCCCTTGCAGTGCAACTGATGAATTTTGCGAATAGATGCTGTGAAATTTATTCATTACCTATATTAATACCGCAAGGGGTCTGGGAATACTTCGCCTGAAGCTTACCCAGAGCCCGCACTTTTGCTGTCCAGCGGAAGCAATGTGCGAGAAACTCTGCAAGCGTAGCAAATTTAGTGGATTCATTCAAGACTATTCGCTCTTCGGGAATTTCTTTGCGTCTTTTTTCTAGGCATCTTTGAATTACTATCTAAGTTTCGTATGGAGAAGGATGAAGCGTTAGGAGACTGTCCGCCAGACTCCTCGCGACATGAATACAACTTATAAATGAGTTTCACAGTAAGTATGATAGTGCCTTCCTCGCAATGCATCTATGGATAGGAAGTCAAACAAACAAAGTTCCATGAGAAAGTGTGATATTATCAGTTATTAATTATACCTGAAGTATATTCTTTTCTTTTTATGTGGCACACATTTATCTTATTTGTCTCTATAAATCTTTGTTCGTTTGAGTACTTTGAGCATCAGATTTCAGACAGTATACAATATTTTCCTTTTGGTAATAAATCGTCTTATCTGTATTTTTCTCACTTTTGACGTTTCTTAATTCATCTGTTTGTTCAATCGCCGAGTGTCCTTCCTCCGGACATTGTTAGCAAGCTTATCCTGTTTTCTTACTTTTAGTTAATCGCTTCATCGTTCTTTATTCGTCTCATGATTTGACACGCTTTCATTTCGTTTTTCTTTCATTGAAGTTAATTCGATTCCGGCCTTGAGTTTCTGTCTTAACCTTTAGGAACCTCACACTAGTTGAACTGAATTCTAGACATTAGTTTATTCAACAATAAATGATATACTAGGTGAATTATGGCAGTCTTATCATAGTTATAAGAAATTGCAACATAGAAATTGCTTTGGAATGAGATTTGAAATGGGGTTTATCATTTAAAGGTGACAATGAAATATCAGATAATCTCTCGCACGAAGACGTGATATCTTCACAGGTGAAAATAACATTTTATTTGACATGTGAAAATTGAATATTCCGTGTACAAATTGTCCTATTTCTTATAAATATATAGAGTTTATATAATGAAACAGAACATTACCGCGAGAGCTTTCAGATACGTGTTCATTTCATATCGCTGAACTCTCGAACGGATCCATAACTCCGCGCGACCGTGTCAATATCACTAGAAAAAATCGCGCCCTTTAAAGGTTTAAAATTTGATGTAAATATGATGTAAGTGTCCAAAATTCTGTAAATTTGATGTAAATGATTTCTATTAAATTTACAGAATTTTGGACACTTACATCATATTTACATCAAATTCACAACCTTTAAAGCGCGCGATTTTTTCCATTGTATCCTCCCATGTGTTTTAAAGAATTAAATGGACACTGTCAATGGCACGCATGCGCGAGTAAACTTGAAAACACTAGGCTAGTGTTTTCAAGTTTATGACTCCAAGTTGGCGCGACATAAATCAGATCGTAAACGTAAACAGATCTAGAATATTCCAAACTGTATCAAAAGCACCGCAAAATGATTTACCTCGAAGGTTATACTTTCAAAGTCCGTTAGAGGTGAGACTGTTACTGCGCATGTCATCCATTGACAGTGTCCCTTTAATTAACGAGGAAACCTATATCCATCAGCTTATAATGACAGATGCCTTATATTTAACAGATATAAATACAACTACACCAACACCCATTTTAGTTTCAGCTTTTTATCGAAGTCGTTCGTTCCACAAGCTTCAATAGCGGTAGAAGAACTGAGTTCAAAGACCCCAAATAACTACCTGAACTTCTTGGTGAAGCTGGATTGAGCAACAGACTTCGTCTTCAAGTGAGCCAACAAGACAAGTAAGTCATTTTCGTGTTCCAGCTTTGCTTCTTATACCTTTTGCTTTTAATTTTTTTTTTTGTATTATTATACAGTTCTATAATTTTATAGTATTAATTTAGTTTTTTTAGGTTTCCGTTAGGTTTTCGTATTTTCTTTGTTGTTTAAGTTTGTTGGTCGCTTAGTTGTTAAGATTTATAGAGAGTGGCGCGTGCAAAACACTCAGTTTGCTGAAGAAGGCCGAAGTGCCGAAACGTCCAATAAACAGAGTTATTATAGCTTCAAGTTGGTGTTTTGTTCTATTTCATTCTACTGTTCTATAATTTCATAAATATACAGCTGTTTGCAATAATTCTGACCCCCTCTGCCATATTTCATATATATCAAACTGACCTTAAATATTATGGGATATCATGACTGATATATTTTTTGAGTTGCCTAGAATAAGTACTACATTTGTTCTTTATGTACATTTAGTGCTTACACAATTAATTAATGACTAATACATTGGTCTCATAGTGGGCGCATAGTGTTTCCGTTCATCACAAGTTATTGTGTTAATCCCCTTTTTCTTTTTTCTTTTTTTCTTTTTCTACCTTTCTAAAATGCTTTTGTTGTTGTTGTTTGTTTGTGTCTTTCTTTTTCTTTTTTTTGACGAAAAAAATCCGCATTATTTGCTACGTACTGATTGAAGGCAAGTTTACGCAAGACGTTACATCGAATCTCGTTTTGACTTTTTTCCTGTGATAATTACTGCAGACCGCAGTGAAGATCTAATTGACTGGCTCACGGATCGACTCACATTTAATTTTGCATTATATTTGATACCGACCTTTTCTAATAGTAAAACGTAAAAATGCTGACCACAGAAAGAACGAAATATCTACTCTCGATCAATTCGCTTTAAAATCATAAATAATATGGATACTTGATTTACGGTCAGACGACGTGGTCAGTAATTTTCTCCGCCCCCCAAGAGTGCAAGAAAAGAATAAAATCCGAATAAGTGTCGGAGCTTTGGAGTCGGTCTGCATTGATCTCTAAGTATAAAATACATATACTGATTACACCCTTCAAAAACGGGTATTATTGCGCTATAGAACTGTGGTATATTTGGAACAGCATACTACATTTCCTAGCTACTGCGCATGCGTGGTTGAAAGATTTCGAAAACACTCGTCATTGGACAATGAGTGGAATATTTCCATGTCAGTCGAACTGAAAAATAAACCGACAGTTATTCCCACACAAGACATGTGATTAATGCTCTTTGCTTGGGACTTTTTTTTTTTTTTTCATTAAAATGATTTCAAGAGCCGAAGTGTGAGTTTTTAGTTCGTTCACGACAGTACTATTAAACTGACAGATGGTAGTACAATTACGCCGTGTCAGGTTTTCGTGATCGTTACGAGAGAAATGCAAAGCAATAAGAATGCCCTCTAAAATCATTTACTGACAGCTAAAATAATTGAGACTGTTTCGTATGTAAAAAGAGTTTTTGGGAAATTTTCCCAATTACCGCAGCCAGCAAATGAACGTGTTAGAAAAAAAGATAGAAAATATAAAAAACCCTCAAGGGTAAAGGCTTATCTCGATAGTGTCTGTAATTGAAAGTAATAGTTAGTTAACAATGAAAATTTTACATCTATAACCCTTTTAAAGNCAAGAATCATACCAAGTTAATTCTGGACCAGCTAGACACTAGACATGAATCAAACTACAGGACCTTCATTACCTCGTCCTACTGAGAGATATTTCGCCGTTTGTGTAACGGCAATATTGATACCATTGATTCTGGTTGGTAACATCCTTGTTATCATATCTTACAAGATAAACCGTCGACTTAGAACACGAACCAATACATTTCTCATAAGCCTCGCCGTCTCAGACATGATTGTTGGTGGAGTGAATTTACCAATGTGGGTTTTCTGTATGGTTRAATACACYAATTGCATGTCATCACCCTATTATAACWTGGTGTTCAAATTCTTGGATCGATTTGGCGCSTTTGCGTCTATTTTTCATCTAACCTCCATCAGCGTTGAACGATACATTGCTGTGGTACGACCWTACTTGTTTYATCGTTTRCCTGAGAGATTCTTCTTTGGTGCGTCAGCATTTGCTTGGAYYATTGCAATGGTGCTTGCATCACTGTCGTGGCTTGGAAATTCCCATACGATTCGCTACAATACGGCGGTTTTCGCTATTGGGTTTGTACTTCCTGCTACAATCGTTCTTTCAATGTACGTTGGGATATTTAGATCCGCTAGGGCACTGCTCARGAGGACACCGTCATTCAGTGGGGATAGAAACCACAATGCTAATATAATCCGTGAAGACCATAAAGTTGCTGTAACCGTTGCTGTTATCAGTGGACTATTTATCATTGCCTGGCTACCATTTTTTCTTTTGTCAATCATTGTTTCATACTGTCCTCATTCAACGGTGCCATGCCTCCCTACAACTCAAGCTGATATTTTCCGACTGGTATCGGCAGTAAAATGGCTGCATTACAGTAACAGCAGTGTGAATCCTATAGTTTATGCCTTTCGAGACGAAGAATGGAAAAAAACCTTCAAGAAAATCATATTTCGGCTTGGAAAAAAGGGTGATTTGCTGCGAACGCTGGGAAATTCTGTTTCATATGCCTCTCCTTCGGCAAATAAAACACATGCAGTGGTCTATTTGTGATCTGCATCTATATGTTATTCGGTATACTACGTAAACAGCTGTAAAAGATGCTTTAAAGCTGTATGAACGAATATAACATACTCGACTCCAAGCCAGTTGCACTGGCATCCCATAATTTTTACACTGGAAGACTAGGAGGATTTAAGATGGAGACTGCTATAAAGTCACTGAAAAACACATGGCGATCAAAGATTTCGCAGCATAAATCATTTATATAATTCACGAACTTAGTTGTCAGAATATTAATCATGCAACAGTAGTCTATTGCGCTCATGATATACGAGTACCATCATGATATCCGTCGAGGATTGTTGACTTGGAAAAAAAAATCGATCAAACTGAACACCATAAGTTAGGGTTCAGCACGTTTTTTTATAATACTGATATGTACAAGAGATTTGTAAAAAATATTAGTAAGCTTTTTTTGATGTTAATTATACAAGAAAGAAGCTAAAACGCTGTCTTAATATTAGGTAAAAATAAAAGTTTGTTTACAAATACTTAGCGAATCATAAAGATACTAAATGAAATGCCTAGAATGATTATTCAACACAGTGTTTGTTATGAATTCATTGGTAATCGGAGGAAATGAAGCACGGTATGTATGTTGTAACTCCAGAAAAAGAAGAAAAAGAAGAAGAAAAAGAAGAAGAAGAAGAAGAAGAAGAAGAAGACTGGCACACTGAATAATAACGCGTGGCAGCTGCCTGGCTGACTTATACATGGAATTATATTATAGCTTCTTATACTATTCTACAAGAATTTTGTATGGTTCTCACTGCAATACTTGTTTCAAATACACGCAGTTGTATTTGCGGTTTTAAAAGTATATTTTCGTCTCTAAAATTTAACTTAAGTCCGAAATTTCAAAGTCCGTTCACTGGTAACTTTTCCGGTTACTTGAAGCTTGAATCTATCTAACCATGAAGACACGAAATGTCATATGTTAGAAAATAATTATTATGTTCAAACTAAGACATATCCATTCTTCTTTTCGTGGGCAAATCATTCTGAAACAATCCCGGGCAAACAGATTGGAAAAACCGAAAGTCGAAGTTTAAAACTTTCCATCTATAGAATATTCGTAAGCAATTCATCCCAGCAAAAAAAAAAAAAAAAAAAAAATAAAAAAATAAATAAAAATAAAAAAAAGATGGAAAACAAATTTTTTTTTAGCTCTCATCTACCAAAAAGAATTAAGATAATTAATATCACTAACGTTTTTTAGAGACTTTTTAAAGCTTAAAAGCTTTTATAATTAATTTGTAGGTGTAGGAAACTCAGACTAGTCTAAAAGATCCAGACAGAAACACCGGTACAATGATAATGACAGCTGCCTGSATTAGGAAATTATAATTGCTTTTTCTAATATTGGTGTTCTCGCAAAATCCCGCGTGTTTTATTTCACCAGGAACACACGAAAATGTGTTGTTTATTGCTTAAGGCAAAATAAATTTAAGCCTTTGACATGTATAACTGATAGCTGAGCCCCAATAACCCTGTTTCTCGTTTAAAGCGAGTGACCGACCACTGTTTTAGGCGACAACAGACTCTYTCGCGTAAATAAATTTCCAAAAATCATTTACAAATAACTCTTCATACTGCTATTTTCCCAGCATTCAATGTGGTMGTGTTTTGGATTTTTCATATATGACAAATGAAATAGCTTTAAATATCCATTCTTAATCTGTTTCCATCCGTCGAATGTATTCATATAGCATAAAGCGATAAAAATAAATGTCCTTTGGTTACCACTATAATATAAAGCATCTTCAGAAATTACTCGAATGAATGAATAATTGCCATCACGGCGTCCAGGAAACATAAAGGAAGAAGGCGGGTTTATTAGCAACAGTCAGTTGAGTCAGTATCCTTCAATGATAATCACATCTTAACTCAATGATGTATTCACATGGAAATCTTTGAAAAACGCAATTTCAAAGACAGAAAACTAATAATGAATTCACCTTGTAATATATTTACTTATCTTAATAGAAAAACCAATACTTCTTCCATTGCTAAATACACAAAAACTTTTTGTGTAAACGGTTTAAACAGCAAAAATTATACGTGAATCATTGATAGTACATTATTGCCAGGTAGAGATGATACACCGCCAGGTAATTTGGAAAACAMKTATGGTTTCCTWGAGARAAAGTATAACTACTGAACTGAAAAAAATGAACGATCGATGAACCAGACCATGAAAATGAAAAYGTAGATCAAAATTAATTCGTTTTAGTGGAAATGAAGACGATAGGCATGCTATTTCCTCTCAGTAGAAAAAAAACAAAATGCTAAGAACKGGAAATTCTGTCAAACGCAATATTCTGGAAATCGATCGCTTTGAATTTCGTTCCATACGTCATATTCTAATGAACTGATACCAGAGTCTAATCTAAGACATCTAACGACAAAATTACTACTTTTTCATCCAATGTGKRTGAAAAGAAWWTTTTTTATTTTTTATATTCTTTACAAAGAGTCGCGAAAAATGCCACTTGTGGACTAGAAATGCTATTCGAGGATAAGTTTAACATAAATAAATTCAATGTTTGCTGGCAGATATAATAAGTCATGATCAGTGGTGCTTTTATTACAAACTGGCTTTTCCAAAAAAGTAGCAATTACAAAATCCTCTTTAATTTGATCAGGATTGTGTCTTTTTTGTCGAAAAGCCTTTGCTTAATTGGTATTCGGCGGCTATATACAAAGACATCCTTCAATTTTATAATAAATCTAATCTACGTCACAAGTACATATTCGCATTTTCGAAAATATGTAAGGCAATAAGTTATAAGAAAAGGCTTGCTGGTGTTTTTACAGCATGGAAAGATCGGTATATGAATTGCGTATGTATAAGTGCTCCCAAAGGCAAAAAAAAAACAACTAATAGTGAAACCTAATAGTATACTTACTGGAGAAAGAGACCATTTGAAACTAAGATGACTTCAGGAAAAATCAATCATCCTAAAATTATAGATATTACACAAGTTCATTTGCGTTTTCYTGCATTGCCGATTTGTGTCTAAAGCCGGTAAAACCGACTAAGTGATCTCTCCTTTTTGTCGGTCTTCCTTGTGGAGGTGGACTAGCAACACTATAAATACTCTATTTGGTTTTTCAGTGTCTCCTGRAGTACTAATGGGTACTGGAATCAGTTGGGAAAAGTTGTTGCGGGCTCGAGAATAACATATGCCGTTCTGAATGAAGACTAGGAGAAAAAGGAGGCAAAAACGGTCGGCAACTTAACCGGTTTACTTTAATTCGTTTTTTTTTTATCATCAATAGTGCAGATAGTTGAAGATAGTCCTACCATCTTGTCATAGGTCTCATAGGGCCTGCAGTGCCGAAGGCAGTGAAATGGATGGAAACAACTTCTCATTTCCCTGATTAAAAGCACCACTTTTCATAAAGGGAAATAAGCAAGAATATACATTATAGAACGTGCTAGGAAGCATTCATTTTTAATGCGTTTTTCAAAAGAGCACTAGAGGTGAATATAATACTTTGAATCATTATTTATTGATCAATACTTGATCGAACAGCTGGTTTCAACAGCATCACTTTGCTTTCACATTGGACTCTCGTTGAGATGAAGGTACGCGCTTATTTTTAAAACAAAAAGTACTGACTCAGTCTGGTTGACTATCATATAACAATATAATGATGGTAAAGTGACTTATCAACTTTAGATATTTTGGTTCGATGACTATGTACAAAAGAACGCACACGAGGCTCTGGGAAAACAATGGATAATTTTGATTTMTTCTTTTATTTCCCCGGAGCCTCGTCTGCAATTCTTTTGTGCATGGTCACTGAAATAAAATATCTAAAGTCGGCTATTCGATCATTGTTCAATAACTCCTTATTCGTGTCCAATAGAATTTTTCTCGATCTTCTGATCGCGTGTGTCCAATCGATAAAAGAATATCTACATTCCTTAAATCATGTGGTGTACAGTTCAAAATGGAAAAACTTTTTCCAAAAACAATAGCGCATCATATTCACTAGTAATGCAACAACGTCGATAGCAAAGATTACATTTTATCGCATATTTTAAGTTCGTTTGGTGTTTCCTCCCAACTATATTGACAGAAACTGTTGTCAGCAAATGCCGGGCAGATAAAGTAACGTTTTYGATATTGAAATTCCGGTAACTATGGTGAAATACAATCTGCAATCTTTTCTAGTGGACACATTTGTAAATAAAAATGCTCTTTGGAAAAAAAAATATCTTCGCAAGTCAAAGTAAGCAGGAAAAATTAAGCCACTGTACGAGATATGCGGAAAAACAAAGAGATTCTGTTAAAAGATAAGTTAAGTAAGCTTTGCATTAAGAAGAAAATAATATCAATTCATGGGAAGATTACAGATTATTTCCAYAAAAACGTAGATAAAAATGGGAAGTGTCCAGATAGGACCAGATAATCTCGTCCAGGATTATCGYATAATTTGAGTGGGTTYTACACGACCATTTATCATTGATAAATACAGCACACAGCAACACGACAGCGTATGCACGGAATGTTATTTACCAAGAGGTCTTTAGTTACTAATGACTCCATTAGGCATGGGAGTTAGCCAGTAAACTGAATCGAGTTTTGACATGTATTACATATTTAACTGACAGAAATTTTTAATACAACCAACAGTTATAAATAACGAAGAAGATACAAGATATAGAGGGCGGACAGAACAGATGGAAGCCTATCGTTGGCGCCAGTCCTTAACAGTATCTGTGCTCTGCTCTGTTCTGCCTCGTTTCTCGTCGTTTAATATATTACATGAAGGTAAGGGCCAGTGATTTGATTGTAGCTACACAATTTGGTAAGCAGTATCGGAAGAAACGAATACCTGCCGTACCAACGTACCGACATTGAAACATGATTTATAAAAAAGACCTTAAAAACTGAGCCTGAAAGACCTGTCACGAAATCCATTCAATTCCTTATYAGACTTCAGGCGAAAACCCCTGATTCTGATTTGCTTTAAGCCAGAATTTTTTTTCTTTTTTTGATTAATGTATAAAACTAGAGTCCGATATTCCAAAGCAATATAAAAATGTGTATATTCGGTCGAGATTTCAAAGGATATGAGCCTATGAACACATTTTTTAGGGAGGAAAGGGGGGATTTATTGAGTGGTTTTATTAACTTTGTATTCTAGTACTTGCTCTTCGCATAATTAACATAAGCAAAYAGAGGCTCGCAAAGATAAGTGAGTAATTGAATGGAGCTAGAATGTCCCTCAGTTATTGAGCAGTGAAAACTGAAAAGGAATTTCTTTATAGTCATAATATAATGAAGAGCTTGAGTTGGGATTAACTTATTTGGACAAAAAACCTTCGCTGCTCGGACACTTTTCATATGAGTACGCGATTATCTATCTAGTTTGTTTATCAAGCTTTTACTTAAAAAGGGATAAACAATGAGTTACAATTGTGTAAAAAGATAAATTTAACACCGTAAAAAAAGTAGGTGTAGAGTCTTTACTCCGACGAAGGATTGATGTCCGAAACGTCAGTAAGTTGTTTCGCCTATTTTTGTACGGTGTTGAATTTATCTTTTTACACAACTCTTTCTTTAGAAACACCGACGAAGTTCACACTAGTTTACAGCTAGTAGCCACCATTTAAACAATGAGTTAGTTTCCGTGAGCTGATTAGCATTCATTTACATTCAAAACAGAAAGAAAAAACATTAAAAACTCAAGTACCTCTTTTGACTCAGATTCAAGGCGCTAATAAATTTTAGAAGTTTTAATACGTTTAAAGAAGCAGCCTTTTGCGTCTGATACCTGTTAACAGGAATTTTAATTATAAATATTGATTTCTTCAGAGTCGCGTGCTGTGATTGATCCAAAGGGCGTGATTTGCTTAGTTGATGGTGCATGCTCACACAGGAAGTCATCTTTCTACATTGTTAAAGTAATAAAGGCTCCGAAATTGAAAAATTAAAATGAATAAAGCGATGCGAAGACTATAGTTCAGTGTGCATGTAAAGTGGCATGGTACGATGTTACCACTGAATCGCCTTTCATTGCTGTGGCCCTATCTCGGGTCTTGGTTATTAAGATCGTATATCTGTGTCAGTGAATTAAGTTTATGACTACATCGATACA